CCCCCCCCCTCGCTATGGGTCATGCCGAACTAAGCAAAAAAAACTTGCCGAGGCAGCGAGAGGAAGAAGGGTTGGATCATTCAGCGTAAAAAACAACTAGAATAACCCCACGTACATCAGATGACACGCAGGTAGCAACACATGAGACCCATGAGTAACTGACCACACGGTCCAACACAAGCCGTATGCAAAGACATGTACCATGTAGTATGTAGCCGACCATCACAAACAAGCAAGGAAAATAAAAAAGCAAAACAAACACCACAACAAGAAAGAGCGCTTGCAAGGAGACGGACGTGTAAGACCCGAAGCCAGCTCACTGCTTTCCATTAGCGCAGTGGTGATGGACGTCGCCCGCAATACGGGTGCCGATACCATATTCGAAAATATTGGTTATAAATTGACGATTATCGATGTTTTTCCGATGTTGTTCGCCAAAGTGGCCGATGTTCCGATTATCGATGTTTCGATACGATGTTGCCCAGAAAATCTCAAAAGCGGATACAACAAAACCTTGTTGTCTTCCTGTCTGTCCAAGATCAAGATTGATTCTATGGTCTCACTTCCACAGCAGGCGCGTTGATACGATGGATGATACTGTACACCGCTGAGACGTGAAGTGTCGTAGTGTGGCCGACGTTTGTATGTATGTGGACATAGATGTGGATCTTGCATTGCAAACATTAATTTGGCCCTGAAGGTAGGTGGCGTTTGGAAGGTGTGCGTGCGAAGCTCCGGGAGAGAGAGGCAACTTGGAAGGGCATACAAAAGGCACATAGACTATATTTCATGATTTAGAAAATTAGAGATAACTTTTCGCCAACCTAGAATAACCCGTAGCTTCAACACTGCTGTACAGTCTTGTCTTGTTACCTGCTGCACTGACCGACCCACAGAGGTGCACAACATACTCCACATGCAGAAAAAATAACAAGGTGCCCTCATTGGGGATAAAGCCGAAAGCTGAAAGGCTCATGTAGTGGTTTGCGGTGTGCTGGACCGAGCGTATAGGGTGTGATGGTGTGCTGGTCGCTGTGCTGCTGTGTTGTGTGTGCTGCTGTGTGTTGTAGTTGGTGATATCAATTCAAGGTGCTGTATGTACGTCATAATTGGGGGGCCCGTGTCTGAAACTATCGTATCGTGTATCGTCGATACTCGATGTTCGATGTCGATACTGTATCGACATATCGGCAAAACTATTCAGCGATGTCGATGTTGAGTATCGCTAGAATATCGACATCCAATGCGGCAAATCGATACGCGATGTCCATCACAGCATTAGCGTGCCCAGAGGCTACCATGCCTCCCACGAACCGATCCAATCCAACTCGAAACCCCGTCCTTCAGCGACGGTACCAATTCTACCCCTTCCTACGCTGCCACTAGTAGGTCAAGATTCGCCACCTTCTGCCACGGCTTTCTCTGCAGGGATGAAAGTGAGGGTTGCTCATAATGCTTAGGAGGGATGAGAGCGAGGGTCTCTCATGCGGCTGAAGCCTGCGGCCGTGCATGAACAAAAGGGCACACAGGACCCTAGCGCTGAATGGCAGGCAAGAATCGTGGCGACATACATATACGCTTCGCAGTTCAGACTATTCTACTACCGCTGCTGCTCAAGGGGCTCGGCCTACTGCCGGCTTTGGTTCGAGACCAGACCACACGTGTGGTGCCGACAGCCCCGACTACATACCACAACCATGCTCTCTCGCTGGTGTAGTCCAACACGACGCGATCCCTCGTTGTCCCTCGCCGCAAGGAACTGTCTAAACACAAAGAAGCTTCCTCTTGGTAGCCATACGGTTGCCGGTGTTCCACCGTGTTCCACCGAACTTCTGGCGAGGCTCTGATGGTCTCCGCTTCGGAAGCCAGCACGTGATTGGACCTACGAGCACAGCAGTCATCGCGTGTAGGGGAGGTACGATGGTGCTACTCTAGAATAAGGCCGTCGACGTCAAGGCGCACCCGACGGCTAAGATGACAGATGCTGACTCCCCCCCCATTCCCGCGGCTGCCCCACGCCAAGCCACGCCTTGCTCCCTCCCGCCGGTGGGCGGCTGGCTAGCTAGCGGTGGGCGGCTGAAGCGTCGCGAATTGCTCCTGCAGCTGTGGGCCAAAAAATCAGGAAAAAAAAAAGGGCGGGCACCCGTCAAAAGGGTGTTTGGTACTTCAGTACAGATCAGGGGGGGGAGTCGAACATCTATCTGTTTGTGTGTTGTCATGCACCGGAAGGTGTCGCCCTTGCAACGCAAGCGTACGGCCCCTACCGACGTTCAAGTAAGAAATGGTGAAACACACGTGCGCGCAAATGTTCATGTTGACGGTCACAGGCAGGGGGGGGGGGG